GCCCCCAATGTCACCCCTGCCACCCCCCAACAACAGCCGCGCCGATTGGCCCGCCCTGGCGCCTACCAACTCCGGCTGCGGAGGGGTGAGGGAGCCGGGTGCAGGAGCGAAGGGAAGCGGCCCGCTCCAGGCGGCGGCGGCGTTCGCACGGATATATCTCCGCACCGCCACGCCGTCGCCTCCGCCGTCCGCCCCACGGCGGGGCCCGCTGTGTCTGTGAGGGCATCCCTGCTCCCCTCACCACCCCCACCTCCTCCGGCACTTGGGAGCGGCGGGACGGCACCAATGCACCCCTGGAGGGGGGTGTTCTTCATGAGTTCCGAAAGCTGCTGTCGCCCGCGGAGGAGGGAGCGGGGAGATCTCACCAGCCAAAACTCTAATTAGGATGTGAGGCAGAAAGAGACGCCGGCTGCATCGTTTAGGAAAGGGCTAAAGGAATAACCTGTCCCTCTTCTCCTCCCCCCCCATGGGTGGCCCTATTGGTCCGGCCCGCAGCGCCCGGTTGCGTAGCAACGGGGCACGCGCTCGAGGAGGGCAATGTCGGGCGCCGCGCCGGGCCGCGGTCAGTTCCTGAGGGAGCGGCGGGTGCGGAGCCTCCTCCGGCGGCCACAGCGGCGCCCGCTTCAACGCGGTGGCGTTCTCCGGTGGGGCGGAGAGCGGGCAGGGGGCGGGGAGGAGGGCGCCGGGGGCCAGCAAGGCCCTGTCGGTAGGGCCGGCTGCTGCGGGGGGGAGGCAGGGGCTCCTGAGCGCAGAAATGCCCCATAAAGAGTCTCACAGCTGTCTCACGTGCACGTGTAAACGGGGTTTTGTTTTGATTATTTTTTTTTTCCCTCCTCCACAGGTGTTAAAATGTTGCGGCAGCCCAGTCGGGTGCTCTCTCAGTCGTGTCACGGAGGCAGCAGCCTGGATTCGATCCCTGGGGTTTGAGCAGGGCACAGATGCCACCTGAGGGCGGCTCGGCTGCTGCCAGTGAGTGTCTCTGTTCGCTGCCAAACTCCCAGAGCAAGAGTAGGAGGAAACCTGCCAACTTCTTACAGAGAGCAAGTTGCCTCCAGTACACGTTGTGTGCCTGCTGGGACACTCAGGTGGTAATGAAAGAAGCAAGCCAAAAATAATGGAGGAAGCAGCCAGACAATCGGGGAGGTCCTTTCAAGTGATCCAAACCCCCTCTACTGCTTCTGAAAAGGTATGCCGCTAATATGAGATCAGTGCATACTAATTAGTTCCTCCTGAATCTTTATTGGATGACATTTCGCAAAGTGGAACCGGGGAGGAGTTTCTGTGATCCTCTGGAAGAGTAACCTTATTTTGCCTGGCAGCTTATGAGCAAAGCAGTCTGTGGACAAAGACTTAAAATAGGTTTGGCATTTCTGGTACAGGCTGTACCTGACATCCCGAGCTGGCATATCCACCCTCCTAATTGTACACTCACTAATTCTTTCCTCGCTTGCTTGTGAGGAAAGAGCACTTCACATAACCCCTGAGCAAAAGGCATCATCACCAACACTTGGGGTCAAGTTCAGGTACATCTTGGTCTAGTTCCGTTTACTTTAGCAGGGAATGACTTGCCCTGTAAATTGATTTCGCTGAACTTCACAGACCAGCACTTGAAAAGAGGTGTCCCTGACAGGTTAAGGTGAAGATCCTGGAGGAAAGAACAAATTACTTACTTTGATTTTACTTTTTCCTTGCTAGGTGACTGTACACCTTTGCCTACAGCCAGTGTATCCTGATTGACAGAATTCAATGTTGTTTTACTCTTAGATGAGGATGGCTGAATACTGTCTTTTAAATAAATAACGTTATCTTCTAAATCTGTTAACACCCCAAACAGCTGACGTCCTCAGCTGAAACAGCACAGGTTTTCCATATCTACTCTGGGGATGTCCTTGTAGTTAAGGAATTTCTAAGTTCCCTGCTCTTCTGAGTCATGCAACAGCCCTAATGCATTTTCAACAGTTTACAGGGAATATCAGCAAACTACTCAACTGTTGTTTTTACTTAACACATGATAAATGCAACTTGAGTTTATCGTTTTCCATAAAACCTGAATGCTTTAATATAAGGTTCATAGTTTGGTTGTTGACTCCCAACTCCCTTGCATTTTATCTTTCTCCCTTCTTGTGGTCTCTGGCATATCGTTTCCCGTGTCATTGTTCTCAAACATTTCACTTTTTTCCCTCCTGCTCAGGCCAGATGGCTCCACTGCTGGCTTTGACCTGCCAAGGCAACTTTGTCTTCTACACTCAGTCCCCCACCTTCCTCCTCCTTCCTTGACTTCAGCTCCTTTCACTGACTTTACAGCTCTTCCTTGCTTGGAGAGTTTGGATGGCTGTGTAAGAAACATGGTCCCAGAGGAGGCAATGCACATGTGGCTACTGGCTGCACATAAGCTACTGTTTGGGAACCAGGGGCAGACAGAGTGGGAGGAAGGCAGCAGGGCTGGATAGGCCTGCATTCCTCCCGGGGATGGGAGAGGCAGCTCCAGAAACCCTGTCCTGCCTCCTTTCTGCTACCTGTCTCCAAGCTGTGCCTCCTCCTGAGAAATTGGTGCATTTTCCAGGTTCAAAGCTCTTTACTAAAATCAATAATCAATTAACCAAAAGGCATAAGAATTAGTAAGAAAGAAAAACTGTCCTGATTTAAGAATTATATGCCTAGTGCTTCCTTCACAGGAGAATAAAATTGTGATAGGTTCTGAGATGGGCCAAAATGGATATCTGATGCAGCTTTGTGTATATTTGAAGTGACATATCCTTTGAAAAACACATCTCATCATGATTGGAAAAACAGGGATACACCTGCTACATTCTAGCAGCTATATAGAAGGCAGGTGAAACACAAGGGGTTTTTTATCATATAGTTCTTATATTTTATTTTTTTTATTTTCTTCTTTCCAAGCCTGATTTCTTAAAGCCATTTGTGATGAGTTTATAGATAAACAGGATAGCACCATAGATATGATGGAAGAATTAAAAAAATATACTGGAAAGTAAATTTCAATTTTAAAATAATATTCTTAGTTAAGGATTAAAGTGTTCAAAAATCATGCTCATTCCACTTCCTCCTTCCCCCTCCAGGGAAGCTCCGTGTCCATCTCGCATGTGGAGTGTTGTCACACAGCTAATAAAGATCCCTTTGGCTCTCTGCTGCCAAGATGTCCAGTAACATAGTAAGTTCAAAATCTTTAGCTGGGTCACTGGAAACACAGAGAAGAAAAAAGCTGAAAAACAAAACAGTTCCTGTGGGGTGGGGTGGGTGTCCCATGTGGATTTATTTTGTTTTCGTTGCAGAAGTTCTTTGCCAAGGTCTTCATTACTTCTTGTGTTTTTGTTTTCTACAGCTTTCCTGTTTGTGCATGGAACCCAGATTGCCTTTGTATGCCCTTGATACCCTCAGCAAGAAGGAATTTCATTGATTCATCCCCAGTGGCTTTCAGTTTTGTGAGGGGGGCTCGTGTGCTGGCCAGGAGAGAAGCTGATGGCTATTACTACCTGGGCCACATTGCCCAAGAGGTGAAGGTAGCTATCGATTGGGAGCTATGCTGTAAGAGGAGCTGTGTGTCTTTTCCCTATTCTTCCCATGAAGAGCAGTCCCCTGCCCTGGCTGTGGGGTGGCTCTGCTGTGACAGAGTGCCCTTCATAACCACTCTTCTCTCCCCACATCCTATTTTCATCCGTTTCCTGATGATGACTGGCTGTATGCTGTGAGGAGTCCTGCAAGCAGAAGCAGCCTGGAAATCAGTCCGTTTTAGTAGTTAGGATAAGTTGTTATTCAGAGACAATCAAACCAAACAGGTCCCTTATCCCTATTGTCTGCTTCTGCCCAGTCCAGCAACAAAGTCAATTAGCTAAACAGCATTAGTAGTAGTCATGTAGTCATCCAAAATGCCTCCAGAGACCATCACCTCCTTACCAAACTGAGAGCTTTCCTTGTTCTCTTCCTTCTGTGTTTCTGGGATTTTGGATGGCAGACAGAAAATCCCTCTCTGCGGGCTTTCTTTAGAAGTCCAATGAATTTTCTGGTTTGCAGGTTAGTTAAATAAATAATGATGCTGGTATAGCTGAGGATGGCTCTAAGTCCAGCGTGGGGTGGAACAGATGGGGACAGCTGAAGGCATGAGTGACTAGCTGGGTTTGGGGCTGAACAGCATTATTTGTGTAAGTGCACCCATAGATCTGCAGAGGGGGCTGAGATTTCAGTACTAGATCTGCCCCACACCCATTGCTGGAGGCTTAAATTAAAGCATTTAAATTTATGAGAGTTATGACGTTTTACTGGTTTGTTATCCTTTTGATTGCTATATAACAAGCCACATCATACACAGCAGTTTCTTTTGGCTGCTCTTTTTCTGATGGGAGGTTTTCCTGGTAAAGTTCTGCCTTAGCACACTAATTGTGTTCTCCTGAGCCAGATGAGCCTACTAAAATCTACGTTCAAAATGAAAGGAAGGGAAAGGCTGTCAGCCCCTTAAGCCCCAGCTTTTTAATGACTTTTAAAGTCTAATATGGACACGGTACAGCGTAAAACCTGGTAGAATAGGAAAGCTGCATTCACAGATCACGTTCCACTTCCTGGGATTTCTGCCACTTCCCTCTTAGCACTTATGTTTGCCTGTTAATTGGACCCAGATGTCTGTCTTGCAAACTGCATGTTTTACTCTTGTAGGGCTCCAGGGAACGCTTTTTAATCGAGTTTGATAAAAGTCACACTCGGAAAGGCAAGGTACAGCTTCAGGAAACGCCTCTCTACGACATTCTCCACTACGAAGATGCCAGGCAACAGCCACTTGCTCCAGGAGACAGGGTCTTGGCACCATGGGAGGCTAGAGCTGAACGTTTTGGGCCAGCCACTGTGCTAAAGGTTATGGAGAACAAGGAGGCACCTTTAGGTACTGGGTATTGGCTTTCTTAAGGTACTGGGTATTGGCTTTCTTAATAGCAAGCCACAGTTGCTGGTCACTGTACAGAAAAGAGCAGGGTCTCAACCATGGAGAATTCACCACCTGCTGCTTGGGTTCTCTTCATCATCTCTTTTTGGTTGTTGGTACTAAGCAGCCTGTTCTTTTTCAGTGCCAGAATTAATGCGGCTCCCAGAGTTAGCCTTTGATTTGTTCCATGAGTGGAAGCTTCCTAAAAATGGGAGGGGTGTGGGGATCCTCCTAACAGGAGGAGAAAAATGTTTCTGGCCCACGAGTATTCACCTGATTATCTGTTAGTTCAGTTTCTAGCTTTTGCAGGGTAAAATCCCTGCTCACCATGACAAGTGAGAATTTTGCTATCTGGTCTGTCTTCAGAAGAAGTTCAAAAGAAGTTCCAATTTTAAACCTATAAAGAAAAAATCATGGAAGTTGTTACAAAATTGTCTGAAAGACAAGCTGTTAGTTTTGTTCTCTAAGAGATAAATCACACAAGCTGATATGCTTCTAATATATTAATCTGCCTTTTTTTTTTTTTTTTTTTTTAATTTTCAAGCATGCAACAGAAGGGGAGTGCTTGTAAATTTCTGGAATGGGCAGACTAAGGAGGTGTCTTCTGACCAAGCTCTGCGGATCCCTCTGCCCTTAAGCGAACGCATCATCCTAGAACTGCAGATGCCTTCAGCAGCCAGGCAGAGGGTGATAGATTCAAGCTTGGATTACCCATACATCGTGACACCGGGTTATAGGGCCTCAGGCTATTACAGACAGGGTCACTCAGACCTGGACTACTGGCCAGGGGGTCTGTATTCGACTCAGCCATGTGCTAAGTGCAGCTGTAGGTGCTCCTGGCTTCCCCGGTGCTGCCTTGCAGCCTTTATTTGTCTTTTTTTTTTTTTTTTTTTTTTTTAAATATTCACAGCATGCAACAGAAGGGGAGTGCTTGTAAATTTCTGGAATGGGCAGACTAAGGAGGTGTCTTCTGACCAAGCTCTGCGGATCCCTCTGCCCTTAAGCGAACGCATCATCCTAGAACTGCAGATGCCTTCAGCAGCCAGGCAGAGGGTGATAGATTCAAGCTTGGATTACCCATACATCGTGACACCGGGTTATAGGGCCTCAGGCTATTACAGACAGGGTCACTCAGACCTGGACTACTGGCCAGGGGGTCTGTATTCGACTCAGCCATGTGCTAAGTGCAGCTGTAGGTGCTCCTGGCTTCCCCGGTGCTGCCTTGCAGCCTGGGAACCCACACGGCCCACAGGGTGCAAAGTGAAGCAGGAAGATGCCTTCATCCCAGGAACAAACTCAACTAAAGAAGAGCTCAGCAAGAAAATAGAAGAGCAGCTGTCTGAGGTGAAGATTTCCTCTTCAGAAAGTGTTTCTAGAGAGGAACAGAAAAAGGAAGATAAGAAATTGAAGACAGAAAATGCTCCAAAAGATGTTCAGTCTTGTTTGGAAGAGGACAACAAGGTTATAGAACCGAAGAAGGTAAAAAATGCTTCATTCTGGCTCTTCTGTTAACATGTGGTCTGCTATTTGCATAATGTCTTTGGTACCCTAAGTTTTCTGCTCTTGGTACCAAAAAATTACTAGAGGTTTTAGGACTGGCTAAAGAATGGAGAGACTTTGCTCTGCACTGTCTTCCTGCTCCTTTGACCTGGGAAAGAGCTAGAAGTTGTCATTGTCACTAGCTGGAGCTGACTCCTAGAGCCTCTTCCACAGATGGAAAACATGAGAAATGTCACATAGCCAGTTCCTCTTCATCCTGCCTCTGCTTGAAGGCAAAAAAGGCAGGAAAAAGTGCCAGTCAGAAGTCTTTACAGCAGATAAAGGTTGCAGTAAGCATTGCTCCATACCAAGGCAGTCCCTGGCATAATGCTATTAAGATACTTCCCCACCCATGGTAGAGGTGTCACCTCCCAAAGACCAAAAGAGACTTTTGTGATTCTTGGTAGTTGATTTGGTGCTTGTAAACAGGGCACTGGATGAGGACTAGGAAGGAGGAGGTTAATGGACACCAGCTACTACCAAACCTTTCTCCATTGCTCTGCAAAGGTTAGAACCCTAATTTCTGGAATGTGCCAGAAAAGCGACTGTCTTTCAGCCAGAGCTCCTGTGGCCTAGTCTCTTTTGTACCAGTTTGGACCCTTCCAGGTAGAAGTACTGACAGTTTTAGGTCATTTAAAGATGTAGAGAAACCCACAAAGCGATCAGAAATTACTGTACTTAAGAGTTGTTTCTTCAGTAAAGAACTCCCCCAGAGGTTGTTTTTTTTAATCTTTCTCAAACTTCAGTTGCAACTTAAGATCTTACACTGTAAGTTCGTGAAACTAACCTATTCTTTTCCTTATCAGGCCTGGATTATGATTGCATTTCTTGTTATTTCTAGAGTCCTCAGAGGGAGATGGCTCATGCTGTGGTCGATGCTGCTGTCAACACAGATCACTGGTTAATGGAGACAGTCCACAAGGAAGAAGCAGACATCAGAGACCAGAATGCTGAAACTGAGGCTAAACACAAACATGGTATTGAAATTGTAGCTGTTTTATCCAATCGTAAGACTTGCCACACAGTATCAGTGCAGTAAGTCATCATGTCTAAGATCTGGTGCCATAGTTCTTGATGTGTCAAAAGAAAATGCCATAATGCCATGCTGAATATAGCCACTATAATATAGTATCATTGTATGTAGGTATTAATGGTAGCATGGCTTGAGAAGCTGTTAATCTTCTCCAGGTGAAAATATTTTGAGATGGAAGCTGGGGTTTTTTGGCATTTACAGCTACTGCAGTAGGAGCATTGGGTTTTCTTAACCTTTATCATAATACTTACTATAAATACTATATATTCTAAAATTTCCTTACTTTAAAAATTAATCTCTAACTGTGACTGCCTTGAGCAAAAAGATTTCACTAGGACTGATCTGCAGAACACTCCTTCTCTTATGTGTGCTGGAAAGGATTGCTTCATAATGTCACAGGGTAAATTTTTTCTTTTCCTTATTGTCCAACAGGGGCCGGATCATTATTTTAATCAAATTGTTGCTGTTCTCAGTTAAGCTAGTTTTGTGACAATTGCAGCCATTTAAGTGAGCAGTCCGAAAGCCTAAAGCTTTCTCCAGGTGTTACTGCTTTGCTCTGTGTCACTGCTGGTAAAGGGAGAATGAAAAGTCGAACAGAAGTGCACATTTCTTCCCAGCTGGTGTTCCAACATCATTCCATGAAACAACTGCCACTCAGATCCACACTGTCTTTAGCAGAAAGGTGCAAGCAAGCTCTGCCCATGCTCAGTTATCCAAAAGCTGTCTTAGCACAGTGTTGCACCTGAGATAATTTGTCCTGTCTCTCAGCAGGATGTATAGCTCAGGCTTTGCACTATCATGAAATTTATAATTATTGCTTGTCTCAGAGCACTGGCAGAAGTAGTTCACGTCTGTCTGCAAAATACCATGTAAAGAACCCCTTAGCCTGAGTAGCCCTGAGTGCAGTCAGTGATCTTGTGTTACCAGGCAAAACTCTTGCTTGACTGCAATGACAGGCTTGTTTTTTGAAAGCTGGGACCTGTTTTGTGGAGACTAAAAGATGTCCCACTTCCTCACAGGAAAATCTTGGTGCTAAATTATAAAAGTCCTACTTGAAAATATTTTATGAGGAGACCTCTTCTTTTCTTCTTTTTAATTTGCTTTCTTTTTTGCAAGCTGTCTATAACCTCTTATGTCCCTGCCCTAATTTATTTGAAAGGTCTTTTTGAGTCCAGAGTGGCAGAAGCTCCAATCCAGCATTCCCAAAGGAGCCCTTCCCTGGGAACCAGCGCTCTGGTTCCTTTCAGGCGCCAAAGCTTCTTTGACCGAGTGAATCAATCACTAGAGAAAGACAGCCTGACCATCAAATCAGCTCTACGTGTACAGAGACCACACAGAACCTCCAGTGTGCAGGCTAGGAGATCCACTAATCTCCTAAATCTTCTAAAAGACAAAAGCATTACAGTAAGTGTTTGGCCCAAACTAGATCTAGTTATTAGGATCAAGAGATTTGTTTCTGTTGTGTGAGAGTATACTCTCCTTTGATCTCTTTCTCAGAGGTTTTTACTGCAACAAAAATTATGCCGAGGTAGAATATGCATAAATAGAAACGTAAGGTTTCCACTTGGGAATCAGTGTTGTACAGGAACAAGGCACTTCTGGTATTTTTTACTCAGTGCTTTTGATAGAGTATTTTATTTCAGATCTAATATTTTCTAAATAATCCTCTCAGATAGAGATAGCAAAAAACAAACAAACAAACAAACAAAAAATTATTCCTCGTATACAGATACTGAAGGCAAATAGGAGAAAGTCCAGGTAGTCGCCTGAATCCCATTGCAGAGAGTGCATTTCAGGGATGGGATGGAACTTCAGGTCTCCTAATCCTTAGGCCAGTCTTTTGCCTGCTGGAAAACACCATTTGTTCACCTTCCACCTATAAAACACCTTTGGTTCTTTCTTTGATCTCTCCCTGTATATTTCATTAAACGCAAATCACCCACAAGGTCCATTTTTTTCAAAGAATAGCAACAAACTGGAGAACAAAGGCGTTTACTGTGCCTCAGAAGCCATACATGTTGAGAGACATCAGTCAAAATGCTACATGAGACCAGCAGGGACATTATTTCAAGGTCCTGTAGTGTTTTCCAGCTTGTGGTAATAGAGATGTCCTCAGGAAAGGACTGGAAGGAGACATTCTGGTTGCAGAGGAACAGCTAACAGCAGGAATGTGCTAATTGCAGCTGGAAATAGGAGAAGGGAGAATTCATTTGAGTGGAAAATATTTTGTGGAAGCCCTGTTCCAGCCCCAGACACCTCTGGCAATATAAACTGGAATGCATGTCTTCAGTTTTGGTGATGTTTCCTTGCTCCTTCCCTCATACAGGGCACTGTAAGGAGTACAAAAGAAATAAATATTTCACTATGGCTGTGCAAAGAAGCCTTGTAGGAGCTCCTTCATCTCTTTACGTGGCACAGTGCACTTAAAAATGCAGATTAGGAACAGTGCCCAGCATTGAAATGCAGCTCCTACTGAAGATAACGCAAAGACTGCTCGACTATGGGTAGAAACCTCAGACAACAGGAAGTGAAGAGTTAGCACACCTGCACAGAACTCCAGGAAGATTTTGTGTTTGGCCAGAGGGAGGCAGATATTTCTCTTTCTAATAAAATCTAGTAAGAAATCTGTAGTATTATTTGTGATCAGAACCTGTATTTTCCATCTAATGCAGAAGATACTGGGCAGTTTTAAGCACTGGCTCAACAGCAGAGCAACCAGAACAGAAGGGACTACTGTTCTTCTGTGAAGAACTCTTAAAATTGGATTTTCAGGCACCCCTTTTTTGGTTAAGCCTAGTCTTTTGTACAGGTTTTAGCATCCCACTCAGCGTTTTCATGGGTGGGAAGTGGCACTATAGTATTCATGAGCCAGGGTGGCTTCCAGAGCTCAGGAGTGACATTAAACAGCTAAGCTGTTCAGGATTTGTAGGTTTACAGTTTGCGTTAGAAAAATATACTGATGAGATTAAGGGTTCGGTTTGGGTTTTTTCTCTTAGAAATCAATCGTTACTGGTGCATCTCCAGAGAGATGGAAAGAGGTGGACTTCAACAGAGCCAAGATTGAGCACAAAAGGCGGCAAGAGGAGCAGAGGCAGCTGAAGAGGGAGCAGCAGCAAGAGGCAGATGCCATCCGACGCCAGCTGCGCAGGGACAACCAGAGGTGATGTCCACGACCTAACTGTTTTTTGTAGTAAATGTTAGAAGGTTGTTAGTGTCTACTCCCTAGTGCTCTCATTCAGCCTCTGAACATTAAACATGGTGCCTCGTGCTTGTCTGTGCAGAGTGGTCACAGTGGTTTACTAATGGGAATAAAATTGATGCCTGGGGTATGGGCAAATGAGCACACATAGACCCATAGCTTTTAGCATTACCTCCAAGGGCAAATTTCCTTCAGTCTGTCCTCAGACCCAAAGTCCTTTTGCCTCCCAGATCCCTGTTCCCTGCCTCTGGTCATACAGTCCACTTAAACTTAGCAGGTCCTTGCCCACACGATCTACCTTCTTCCGTCTCTTCTGTTGCCCCTGTGGCTCCACCACCAATACACAGCTATCCAGTTTTCCAGATTAGTCCTACAGCCCCACACACACACAGTTAATTTCTTTGGTTCCTGGTCTTCAGGGCCAAGAACACACAGCTGCATCAGGTTATGTAGTTAGGTGAACAGATGATTGCAATTCACTGAGATGAGGCATCAGCCCATTTGGGGGTTTTGCCACCTCTGTGTAGGACACAAGTTTAATCCTCGTAACCTAACAAAGAGTCCTGGGATATTAACTAAGCACACACTGCCAGAATATCTGCTTTGTGTCTTGTGCACTGTCTTTTTCTTTTATTGCTCTTTCTTTCTGAGAAATTTGAGAAATTTTGTTTTGGAAACAGGCAGCGGTTGCGTCAGAGAACATTGCAAGGGCAGGAGAAACAGCTGGAGCACAAAGACAGAGCTTTGCAGCACATGGCACTGCTCCAGGCTGCTGGGGCAGAGAGGAGCAGGAAGGAATCCTTCTTGTCAGAGGAGGAGAAGAGGAAAGCAAGCGAGAAGCTGCAGTTCTTAAAGTCACAGCGTTTGCGGAGAGAGGAGTTGCAGGCAGAACGCAACGAAAGGAGCTTTGAACAAGAGAAAGAACGGCTGGTAAGGGCAATTCCAGAAAAGTTTCTCCTGTGCTACCATGTTCCCAGCAGTGGCACCATCCAGAGTTTTTGTCTTTCACCTGTTCTATATCCAATGTAATTATATCACTTAGAGATAAATAAATGAAGAGTAACATTTTTTTAACATATGTAAAGATGAAAGATGGGAAGTAGAAGTCTCCATCTCTGTGGCAAGAGTCTTTCTGCGTGCAAAGAATGAATTTCCGTAGATTATATCCATTTCTGACTTCTGCCAGTGATAATTGTGGCTGGAAAACTGTAAATATCTCTATTTTTATGTAGGATTTCCTCAGGAGCAGAATGCAGTCACGGCAGGAAATGCTGGAACAAGAATCACAGGAGCAGGACAGGAAACAAAAAAAGCACGAGGCTGCCAAAGTGAGAGTGTTCCAGAGCAGAGGCCATTCGTGCCGGAAGATGGAAAAAGAAGGCCAAAAACTCTGTGACCTCCAGCAGTACCTCAGAGAACAGAACCTTTTGATGCTCCGGGCATCCCTGCTAGCATAAGGAAGCTGCAGGGTGGGTAAGCAGGCCCTTGAGCAGTTCACAGGTCTGCTCTGTACCTTGTAGGTGTGAGTCCATGCTGGAGCTTGGGTGCTTGAGTGCAGTTGTGACAATTGGAATTATGATTCCTGGAGAAGTCTTTAATGTCCTTTTCATTGCAGCCAGAGTGCGTTTCCACTGCTCTGTCCTTTACATGCCTTTCTTTCTGGGGTTACTATTCTAGTCCACCTCTGTCAAACTGTTCTTCTGTGACCCTCCTCACTGACCCAGCTCTGCAACCAAGAGCTACCTTGGTATTTAATATGAAACAGCCACAGCGCTGAGTTTCTGCCCCAAAGGCATCTGAAAGGGGCCAGGCTCTTTCTGCAGGACTCCAAGGAGTCAGCAGCCATAGTGCTGAGTGTTGGAGGCTGAGGCTGGTGAAAGTGTCACTGGGCAATCCAGAGTGGAGCACCAGAAGACCTGGGAGTTAACAAAAGTCATTCAAAGGGCACAAGATCTAGAGGGGCATTAGGTTGTAGCTGCTTTCAAGATGCCAATGACAGAGAAAGGAATTAGTTAAGTGAGGGCATGGGCCATACAATAGAGTAGGAGGTGAAGAACAAGAATGAAGGTCAGGAGAAATGCCCTGGGAACCAAGTCCCTCAAGTGAAGTGGTGCAAGCACAGGCCCCAGTTATGTCCTGCTAATACAAGCCTACAGGGAAATTAAATACAGGCCTGAAAGGGCTTCTGCTGCTGAATTCCGGGAACTTTCTGCCCTGCTGTGTTTCTTTCAGAGCAGCGCCAGAAAAGCACTTTTTTTTTTAAGGTCAAGGACCACATAAAATAGAAAGTGTAGCTACACAATGCTGTTATATGACTTACCTTGCTATGGTAACATTGTATGAAACATATATATATATACCTTGCTATGGTAACATTGTATGAAACATGGGGCAGGAGAGCTGGACGCCAGCTGGATGTTGAAAAAACCCAAACCTGCAGCAATGAACATGTATGTGCTAAAATACAATGTTTATTATCCGCTGCAGTTTCCATTATTAACAACTGACTCTTGCAAGCGTCCCGTTTCGCTGAATTTCACTGAATTTCTAGAGTTTGTCCCGTTGCACGTGAGTTGCAGGGATCCACAGGAAAGAAGTATGGGGCAGGAGAGCTGGACGCCAGCTGGATGTTGAAAAAACCCAAACCTGCAGCAATGAACATGTATGTGCTAAAATACAATGTTTATTATCCGCTGCAGTTTCCATTATTAACAACTGACTCTTGCAAGCGTCCCGTTTCGCTGAATTTCACTGAATTTCTAGAGTTGGAAGGGACCATAGAGATCATCTAGTCCAACTCCCCTGCTGAAGCAGGATTGCCTAGAGCTAGAGCATGTTACTGAGGACTGCATCCAGGCGGGTTTTGAAAATCTCCAAAGAAGGGGACTCCACAACCTCCCTGGGCAGCCTGTTCCAGGGTTCCGTCACCCTCACCGTGAAGAAGTTTCTCCTCATATTTGAGTGGAACCTCTTATGTTCCAACTTGTGCCCGTTGCCCCTCGTCCTCTCGGTGGGAACCACTGAAAAGAGTCTGGCTCCCTCCTCCTTCAACCCTCCCTTGAGATACTTGTAGGCGTTGATAAGGTCTCCCCTCAGCCTTCTCTTCTCCAGACTAAAGAGTCCCAGCTCTCTCAGTCTCTCCTCATAAGGGAGATGCTCCAATCCTTGAATCATCTTTGTAGCCCTACGCTGGACTCTTTCTAGTAGTTCCCTGTCCCTCTTGAACTGGGGAGCCCAGAACTGGACACAGTACTCCAGTTGTGGCCTCACCAGTGCAGAGTAGAGGGGGAGAATGACTTCCCTTGACCTGCTGGCTACACTCTTCCCTATACAACCCAAGATACCATTGGCCTTCCTGGCCGCAAGAGCACACTGTTTACTCATTGCCATTTTACTGTCCACCAGGACCCCTAGATCTTTCTCTTCAGTAGTTGCCTCTAGCGGGTCCACCCCTAACCTGTATTGGTGCCTGACATTCTTCTTCCCCAGGTGCAGGACCCTACACTTTTCCCTGTTGAACCTCATGAGGTTCTTCCTTGCCCAGCCCTCCAGCCTGTCCAAGTCTCGCTGGATGGCAGCACAGCCCTCCGGGGTGTCAGCCACTCCTCCCAGTTTGGTATCATCAGCAAACTTGCTGAGGATACACTCTGTCCCCTCGTCCAGGTCACTGATGAATATATTAAACAGCACGGGTCCAAGTATTGACCCCTGGGGGACTCCACTGGTTACAGGCTTCCAACTTGAACCTGCTCCATTAATAATTACCCTTTGGGTCCTGTCACACAGCCAGTTCTCAATCCACCTCACTGTCCCCTCATCCAGCCCATACTGCCTCAGTTTCCCGTGAGTTGCAGGGATCCACAGGAAAGAAGTCCCCATACGTGACACAGTTGTGCTGCTTCCTGCCAAAACTGCTGCAGGGGGCAGGGCAGGACAGGACAGGGATCCAGGGACAGGAGCAGTGCTTCAGAAAACCTTCCAGCTTGGGCCTCTGGTAATTCTAGATTTTCTGCTGTGAGGGTGTACCTATGTACTGCTTGGAATACGCAGTAGGCTCTACAGTTTGTTTAAATTAAGGTCTGAAAAAATTATGCTTCAGAAAACCTTCCAGCTTGGGCCTCTGGTAAGTGTCGATTTTCTGCTGTGAGGGTGTACGTAGGTACTGCATGGAATACGCAACAGGCTCAACAGTTTGTTTGTTTGTTTGTTTAAATTAAGGTCTGAAAAAATTATCACTTGCTGCATACACAGAAACTAAACGTGAAGCACAGTTTTGCACTTCAGACATGGAATTCTATTATTTGGTTTAAGCTCTGTTTAAGCCTCTGGAAAAGTTGGCTGAAATTTGCTCAGCAAGAACGTGGGTGGCTGTGCCCAAGGCCTGCCTAACTGAGGGACTCAGGCTGCAGAGTGCTGTGCCTGGCATCTCTAACCCCCCAGCTGGGTGGAAATGGGAGGGGGCATCACACCACTGAGTGAAAACGGGTGCTGGCAGCACGTGGAGGTTATCACTTGCTGCATGCAAAGAAACTAAATGTGAAGCACAGTTTTGCACTTCAGACATGGAATTCTATTATTTGGTTTAAGCTCTGTTTAAGCCTCTGGAAAAGTTGGCTGAAATTTGCTCAGCAAGAACGTGGGTGGCTGTGCCCAAGGCCTGCCTAACTGAGGGACTCAGGCTGCAGAGTGCTGTGCCTGGCATCTCTAACCCCCCAGCTGGGTGGAAATGGGAGGGGGCACCGCACCACTGAGTGAAAACGGGTGCTGGCAGCACGTGGAGGTTTTCTTTGATGTAAAGTTTGGGGGTTGCTTGCCTTTCTTCTTTTTTGAGGTCTCTTTTGTGCAAAATCATGTGCTAGTTAAGACAACAATGTAGCTAGTTATGACTTCAAGTCTAACTAGACTTGCAGGAACAAGCCTAAAACTTAAAATATGTTAAACTTTACTGCTGCTTTCATCCTTAAGCATTTGGAAATTGAATACATAATGATTAAATGAAAGTACATGAAATATATTAAGTGGAATCTAAAGTTATTTTTCAGACTTCATTTATGTATCATTAATCATTATTTTATAATCACCATAAAACAGCAGATTGTCTGCTTATGTACTTTCTCTTCATTGCTTAACCATTCGAAACCAGACCACTGCAGACACCCTGTGCTGCTGCCATTTCACATACAGTATATCTGGGAATATATTTAATATTACAGTATTTCCAAATATTCATAGACTGTTTTTCTCACTACTTAAAAACAGCCATAAAATAATTTTACTACTACTATTAAAATAACTGATGGTAAAAGCCATGCATGATCTAGAGCTTTTGCTGGCTTTATTTAATTTTAAACATTTGCAATATATTTTCCATCCATTAGGAAAATGCTTGGACTCCTTGTTTTACAAACTACTGGAAACAAACCCCAAGCATTTGCATATTAGTTAAGGTTTTGAGTTCACTAGAGTGAGAATAGATGGTAGGAACGAAACACACAGAGAAAAAAAAAGATTAGTTTTTTTAAGGTTCAAAAAAACCCCAAACATAAAACAAGTACAAATATTCCCAAAAGTTGTTTTTATTATGGATGTAGCTTTTCTGCCTAGGCAAGTATTTTCTTTTGCTGTTTATAATCCAAACTCGTGTAGTATTGTGCTAGAGCATGGAAGTTTGAAAAATCAGATGGACTCGTCTGTTTTTATCACCCAAAACGACTAAGAACAGACCATTCCACGCAGGATCTTGGGATGCTTCTGCAATAAAAGCAGAAGTTAAAAGTACAAAAGACAAGAAGATTTATTGGCTTTTTTCAGCCTGAATTAGTTGCTCAAGTGGTGTTAGAACATACCACAGTGACAGGTAAGTCAGTAAATTAACTTTAAATATTTACCCTGATATATTTCAAAACAGACTTGATCAGTGAACATCTTTTAAAAGACTTTTAGACAAGTAGGACAGTTTTTCTCATCCATTTCTCATACCACAGTGACAAGTAAGTCAGTAAATTAACTTTAAATATTTACCCTGATAGATTTAAAAACAGACTTGATCAATGAACATCTTTTAAAAGACTTTTAGACAAGTAGGACAGTTTTTCTCATCAGGCTGCAGTGATCTCTTGTGCACCTAAACTACATGATAGGTCAGTTTAAAACCTGCCAGAGCACATTAGCTCTTAGAACAGTGTAATGAGTCAGAATTCTCCAACTGTGCAAAGTCTTCCTGGTTTCTGGAACAAACCTCCTAATCATCCCATGCCTGGTGCTTGGCTGAAATGACTGAAGGCAACATTCATGGAGAGTAACCACTGCATGGAACCTCCCTGAGATACATGTGACTTCCCACCTTCAGCTTCTTTGTCAGCTTGCAGATGGCATGGGGAACCCTGCACAGCGAGAGGGCAGCAGCCATAAGAGTCTATTCAAGGACAGAAGCTGCAGTTTTAATGAGCAGTGGTTTAGCTGCCTCTAGGATGTCCAGTTCGGGGTCCAGTGAACGACCAAGACCTTCCAGAACCATGATGGCAAAGATGATGGAAGCAAAATTGCTCTCGAGCTTCACCTGGAATGACAAGTGACTGAATCAACTCAGTGGACCTTTTTTTTTTGAGCCCATTCCACGGAGGTACCAGCTCTAGCTAAGCTGAGAGGGAAGGGAAGAAGCTGGGGAGAGCATACACACATCTGAAACTATACTGCAACTCCATCACTTGACTTTCAGAACACACTGAAATCTAGCAGCCAGACCCAGCAATGAGGCAACAGAAATACGGTAAGTGCCCTAAGGGAACCCAGGAGTTTGTTTTTGAGTTCTAAGATGGGGAATGGAATTTATTTGTTTTTTTTTTTTTCTTCCATATTGGAATAGCAGGAGCTTAGGAATGCTCACCATTGCTAGTGTTGTTTTAAGCTGCAGTAATATCCAATGTCCTTGAACACATGCACTTGTGTAAGTTGCCTTCTGAATGGCCACAAAAGACCCCCACAGATCGCAGAGGAAACGATTCCCTGTTCTGCATGTGAACAAACTACTCCCCAGTTCCCAGCCAGGCATGAGGACTGTTTCAAGGCATACCAGGGCATTAAGAATTCATGGAGTTGGGAGAACTTGCTTTATAAAGGCCTAAATTACATTTCATATTATTAGAAGCCACTTTAATGAGACTTAATGACAAAAACCTCTAACTAAGGGATGTTTAGGGGGACCTTTTGCAGGCTGGGCAGCCCTGTGGCTGACAACCTTCTCATCTCCTGTGGCTCAGGCCACCACAGATCTGCTGATTTCCAAAGTTGTTTGCAGCAGTG